AAGGGTTAGGGTTAGGTTAAGGGTTAGGGTTAGGTTAAGGGTTAGGGTTAGGTTAAGGGTTAGGGGGGTTAGGTTTAGGTTTAGGGGTTAATTTTAGGTTTAGGGTTTACAGCGTGCTTCTGTCTCCATGCTGTTGTCGCCCTGTTGATGACGTCAGCTACGCGGTTAGTCAAGCGCGGTTTAGTCGAGCGCGGTTTTGTGGTGGAACCGCAATAGGCTATGGCAATCCCTGCAGCCTGAAACAGCTGCTCATCTGGAGGCCCCTCCTGAAACTGAAAGTGAAACTTGCTGTTTGCTGCAAGGGGAAAATTGCTGGGAGGCAGAGGAAGATTTTTTTTCCCCCTTGCGCTAATCAGGCTGTTTGCTGCGAGGAGAGGTGTCAACTATAAATGCCTATAGAACATTCACAATTATTAGACTTATTTTTTTAAAGACTGCTTTATTCTTGTTCTAGACAGCTTAACAAAATGAAGAAGCTTTTTAAAATAAATGCTTGATCTGAAGAGGCCCAGTGCTAATGTATCTTCTTTTAAAGAGCAGAGAATTCCAGAAACCCACATCAATTTTAACAGCAGCTGTACAAGTATAGTCTGAAATGTAACACCACGGTGTACATATCCTTTGTACTGTTTGCTGTTCGTTGCAAGGAGGCAAATTGCTGGGCAGGCAGAGGCAGATTCCCCCCCCCCATTGTTTTCCTCCCCAAAAGCTAGGTGCATCTTATACTTCGGAGCGTCTTATACTCTGAAAAATACGGTATCTGGGGTTTAAAAGTCACTTGGGTTCTTTATGTTGCGTGGGGGGGGGGAGGAAATCCACAATGTGGAAATATGTGAGTCTGAATCCCACACTCATTACTGTCTCAGCCCTGGAACCTTCCTTGGGACCGGGACAGGGGTGGGTGGGTGGGACTGGGATGGTCCCTTGGATTTTACTTCCACTGAGCTATTGTGCTCTTGGAAGAGTTACCCGATTTGCAAAAGTGTGCATGACTGACCTCGTAAACTGCCAGAGACCTTCTCTGATCTGCTTTGGAATTTTGTAGTTTTTTCCCCCTTGACCAAACTAGCACCAAATACCAGAATTGAAAGCATTGATTGCCTTGGCTGTTTGCTGTGGATTACAACAGCCTTATAACCTACTACCGTCAGCTGCAACGTCAGGTTAGTTAGCTTCCTCAAAGGAGCTCCCCTGCTGTACGAGAAGGATACTATTAACACTGCCTCTCGGCTTGGGCCGAGTTCCTCTTGATAACCTCCATGTGATAACCTCCATCACACCGAAGATGAGAACGATCCCCAAGGCCGAAAGCATGATTATGTTGTCATACTAATCCCCTAAAACCCGTCTTTTGTTGAAACGAGCACGTACCCCAATAGCTTTCTACAGCTTCTCTATCTTCCCATCTGCTTTCAAATCATTTAGGACAGAGTGCCCCAATGTTTCCCGGGCCAGCGTGTGTATGTGTTAGGGTTAGGCCGGCAAGCCCGTAGCTCCCTTTGTGTGAGCAGTGTGCAGCTGCCTCTCACAGCAAATGGAGCATGCATACATGCACTGGCTTGCTGGCCATTTCCGTGGCCAGAGCTGCAAACCCTTCATGGCCCACTAGTGGCCCCGCGCCCCACAGGTCGGAGGCCCCCCCTGATTTAGGGCCAAAAGGCTGGATGAACTTGAGGGAATATTAATCCGTGACCACCTAACTGGTACAGAAGCTCTTCCAGAGTATTGGGACCCTGGAGGGTTGATTCAAACCTCCGAAATGGCTCGTTGGAGAACTTTCTGGCACCAGCCCGAAACATTTACACCCAGAAAAGTTGACCTGCTTTTTAATGGCATTCAGAGACGAAAGTTAAAATTCAACCTTCCTCTTCTTTTATACACACACAGATCCTAGGAACCCCTTCAACCAGTGGTGGGATTCAAATAATTTAACAACCAGTTCTCTGCCCTAATGACTAGCTGGGTGGGCGTGGCTCAGTGGTCATGTGATCATGCAGGCGTGGCCAACTCAACGTCACTCGGGTCGATGGGCACTTCGCCTTAGCTGTTACAATGGAATAAGGGTTAACCGGAGAGGCGGTTTCTGTAATCAGGGCAATAAAGATTAGGCTAGAAACAACACCAGAATGTTTCCTTCCTGCCTTCCTTACAGGATTAGCCCTATAAAGTGGGGGAAAAAACAAAAGGAGATTTCTTCCAACAACCGGTTCTCCAAACTGCTAGAACGTGAACAACAGGTTCTCCTGAATAGGTGCGAACCGGCTGAATTCCACCACTGCCCTCAACCCCTTGCTGGGGTGTGTTAAATTTAACTGACTTTTAAGATATAGAAACAAGTGTCCTGTTTGCCATAAGTATCTCAGGAGAATTGCTTGCCCACAAGATGTTTTTCCGGACACCTTCATTTTCAATATGTAAACATTGAAATTATAATATTTTGAAATAAGAGGGGAAAGAACAGCCTGATTTAGCGACTTGAAGGATATTGAAAACCCTTAAGGCTGTTAAAAGTGTTTTTGAATTATAATTGGAACATGCTTTTCCTAGGATGACAAAATAAAGAGGAATTTTGTCTTTATAGAGGGGGGTGCCTTCCCTCTCGTTAGCCTCTCATCTCTGGTTTGAAGCCAGACACACACTCACAACCTCGTCTTTGAGAGAACAGATCTGCTGCTGTAACAGATTCCCAGAAGGGGGTATTTCAGGTTGCCTTTAAAGATACAGCTTCTAAGAGTCACCTCTGCTGATCCCACTGCCTTCTGCTGAGACTAACCATCTGTATCATGGTGGGTTTCTGGCTTTGTATCATCTTCTCCGTCTACCGACCTTTGTAAAAATCACATTAATCTTGATCCTTGGGGGCTTAAGGTACTGTAAAAAGTGTCATTTCCAAAACTCGATTATGCTGCTTTCCCTAATGTGTATCACGTTGCAAATAATCCTTATCGACTCTTACCTTAACTGCCTAGTTATAATAATCTGGAACTCTGCATGCTTTAAAAATGCTACCCAAGTCTCAACTTTTGGCTGCGAAGAACCCACGTATAAGCTTAATTCCTGAAACGGGAGGGACATACAAGTTCAATACATCTCTGTTGAAAATTAATCATCTTTGGGATTGACAGTTTCTCGGGGAAAAGCGATTACTTGAACCCTGCCCCGGAAGGGAAGCTATCTAAGTTGGGTTGAATTCTTAACAAAGCAGCTGGCAGATTCTCTTTAAAGTGGAAGCTCTCCAGCCAAATTGAGAGACTTGGTTTCCTGCTAAAAATTAGGGTGGTGCAGCAATAGACTCCTCAAACCTCAGGATGTTTTTTAAGAAGAAGAAAAAATCCTGTTCGGTGGCACATTAATGTTGGTTCTGCAATCAGAACTTAGCGTGGATGCCCTAAATCCTTCTGATTTAGTGTATTCCTTGGGTGGATTTGAGTGACTTATCTCTCTTCCACGTGGCCTGAACGATATCACCCGCTCTGGAGCGCTGATTTTGTGGCTTTGGGGGTGGTTCAGATTTGGGAAGCCGATTGCTGCCTCACCCTCACCGTCATCATGCATGTCAAATAAGCAATTAACTCTCTCTTGCCTTACTGACATGATCATATCACTCGATGTATCTCTTTCCTTCCTTTCTGTGTTGCTCTTCCCTCCCCTCCTTCCCTCCCTCTCACTCTTGGCCTACAGATAGCTCGGGAGGCCGAGGCCGCAATCTTTCACCGTCAGCTGTTTGAAGAACTTTACCGTCACACTTCTCTCAGCCGGAACCCTTCTGATGCCATGGCTGTCGGCTCTGTGCAGGCCTCTTTTAAGTGCTTAGCTTCCGCTCTGATAGTTTTGACCGACACGGGCAGGTAGGGACTCCAGAGTTAGCCAGAATAACCAAGTAAGCTTGCCTAGAGGATTTGTTAATGGTCATTTTGAGATGCTCTGAAAAAAAATAAAAATAAAGCAAATTTCCAGGTGGTGCTCCTCCATGTTAGTTAGGGTTCTCTCACAGCACTCTTAAAACTAAAAAAAGAAAAAAATCAGCCTGTCTCCATCTGTCTTAACCAAGCAGGATTTGAGGTAGGTCGAAGCAGACTCAGAGAGGTTCGTGCATGAAGGAATGAGTGCACTGGTCACTGGCAGACTGGCGTGGGGTAAGGTGGCAAGTCTTGCACCAGGTGAGGCCAGGCGGTGGATGCAGACCAAGGAGGCCAAGACTCACCTGCTCTTGTGGAGGATGACCGTCTCTGTCCCCCCCGTCCCAGCAAAGATGCTCAGCTGGGTGGATTCCTACCTTGGTCGCTTCCACCCTGGTTCTCCGCTCGACCCGCCATCCCTCTTTGCGCCTAAGCGGTGCCTGACGTGAACGCCGTCACCCGAACGCCTGTTGCTCTTGTAGATTGCTCGCGAAGCCGAGGCAGCCATCTTTCACAGACAATTGTTTGAAGAGCTCCGCCGGCTGGCCCCCCTGAACCGAGACCCTACCGAAGCCGCCGCTGTGGGTGCCGTCGAAGCCTCCTTCAAGTGCTGCAGCGGGGCCATTATTGTGCTCACCAAGTCTGGAAGGTAGGAGGCGGAAGGTGCTGGCAGAAGTCGCGAGGACTTTCTCGGATGGCCAGATAACAGACACGCCCTGCTTCTGAGCCTCTTCTCTTTCTCCCTCTCAAGCACAGGTTTTTGGTCTCTGGATGGAAGCGCTGCTAATGTAGCCTTGGACTAGGCCTTCTAGGAGCTTAGCCGGTGGTCCTCCAGCTTCACTCTGAACTTTAATAAACTTTGCATAGGGTTGGACAAGAAATCAAATGCACCACTGTCAATAATTAAGTTTGTGTATCACAGGCTTGTAGTTCCAGTGTTTCCCAACCTCCGGAACTTTTGAGGCCTGTGGACTTCAACTCCCAGGATTCATGCTGGCTGGGGAATTCTGGGAGTTGAAGTCCGCACGTCTCAACAAGTTGTCAAAGTTGAGAAGCAACTGTCTCGGACAATAACCATAAAACGGCGGCTTGCTGTGGACATGTGCAAACGAAAGGAGAAGCAAAGCGTAGTGGGAATTTTCACGGGGCTCATAATTTGTGTGGGAAGGTCTTAAAAAGCTTTTTAAAAAGAGGGCGCCTCCCAGGGCATCAACCTCCAGCAAAATTTATTGAGTGGGCAATGCCCGCCGCTCAACAGGTGTGTAATTCACTCCAAAAAAGAGTGCTGCTTAAACTTTGATCTCATTTTTATCAGCACACAGTTTTGCACATTAAAGGGGGTGAGTTTGCTTGTGATTCAGTGTCTGATGGGGCCCAGGCCACCATACTAAACTAACGTATATTTGAACATAGCGTGTTACAAAAACACGGCAACGGCTTGGTTATGCCAGGTTTAGCATGCCAAGCAACTATCTGCATGTCTGCAATTTGTTTATATCTCTTGAAACTGCAGAGCGAATTTATTTTCTGCAGATCAGATCAAGCATGTCTGCACTATTACTATTATTATTATTTAGAACTGATGCAGAGTTCTAAATGATTGATTTTCCAAAATAAGGATTATCGGGGGGGGGGGTATTTTTGCAGCTGCGAAATGCAGATTTGGAGGAAGAAGCAGCTGCAATGAGCAATCCATTATATTGGCACACCCTGTGAAATTAGAGCATACTTCCTGCTTAAACCTTTCTTACTCTTCTCTCATAAAGGGTTCCTACCTACTGTTTGCTTACGTGTTTTGCGAATATAATTTAGTTCTGGATCGTATTTCCCTAATCGTAGGTCTGTAAATGCTTTCGATCTCTTAGTAGATACCCAATTGCCTTATTTGCAAAGGCTTGATGATGAGGGAAATTGGAAAGAGAAACCAACGATATTCCATTTAGAATGCTAATTCTGTAGACTGGTTGTTTCCTCCTGGGAACCAATATTTTTAAAATTCCGTATTTTTCGGAGTATAAGACGCAGCTTTTTCCCTCAAAAAAGAGGCTGAAAATCTGGGTGCATCTTATACACTGAATACAGCATTTTTTTGCCTCCCCAAATCCCGCCCCTTTGTAAAAATGGCCCTGCAGAGCCTTTAGGAAGCTTGCAGAGTGCTCCTGGGGGCTGGGGAGGGCAAAAATTGAGCGAAAAACAGGCTGTATTTTGCTCATTTTTGCCCCAGCCCCCAGGAGCACTCTGCAAGCTTCCTAAAGGCTCTGCAGGGCCATTTTTACAAAGGGGCGGGATTTGGGGAGTCAAAAAATTGCTGTATTCAGTGTATAAGATGCACCCAGATTTTCAGCCTCTTTTTTGAGGGAAAAAGCTGCGTCTTATACTCCGAAAAATACGGAATTTTAAAAATATTGGT